TAAATCATTTCTAATACATGAATTTCAATAATCCCTCTTATCTTAATCTCATATCATAAATCACTACTTCCAAATCTTTAACACACATGGCACCTTGTGACCATATTTTTATCTCACTTCGCACGGCAAAATCCACGTGCTACTCGGTACATAATATCTATGTTAAATGCTAATTAGGATGTTCAATAGATTTATTTATATATTGTAATACAGTTTCTGAACCAAGTAGGAAATTAATGAGAAAAGTGAGTTTATTTTAGAATTCATTTGGATGAAGAAAATACATTCCAACTTAAAGTTTCGTACTTGAGCATCATTCTTCCAAATCAATTCTAAATAACCTGAAAACCAAAACCGACGATTCACAGAAGTCATAATACATCATACGATGTTGCTCAAGACTTCAAATAGTTAAACGAAATGCGAATGATCAAAACAACCGGCTGGGTCGTTACATTTATTTTTTCTTGTATGCCCGCACATCTATCGCAATATCCTCATTTCTGCTACTTTCATCTTCTGGCATGAGATTTCTTGACTAGACAACACTCGGCTCCATACAACATGGCTGGTCTAACTACCGCTTTGGAGAACTTGCCCTTAAGTTTAGATGGCATATTCTTGTCACATAAAATACCAGAAGTAATCCTCTATTTCAACCACCTCGCTCATATATGATATGTGATATCCTCGTAAATTTCCCTGTTACTCTATATAATAGACCCAATATATTTGAAACTATCTCTCATGGGGATGACTTGGGTATTAAGCTTCATGTCCACTTCCAAACACTAAACTTACACTCCAAGTATTCTGTTTTTGTCCTGCTCAACTTGAAACCTTAAGACTTCGAAGTCTGACGCCACACCTCCAGCTTAGTATTAACTGTGTCGTGCGTATTGTCAATAAGCACTATATCATCTGCAAATAACATACACCATGACACTTCTCCCTGAATGTTAAGCGTCGGCACATCCATGCCTAGGGAAAATAAAAATGGGCTAAGAGCTGATCTCTGATGTAATCCCATCCCCACTGGAAAATAATTTGAATCCCCTCTCACAGTCCTCACCTGAGTCTTATCTGCATCATACATGGTCTTAATCACCCTAATGAATGCTACCGGAACGCCGCTAACCTCCAAACATCTCCATAGAACCTCCTTGGGGACTTTGTCATAGGCTTTTTCTAAGTCAATGAACACCATATGTAAGTCCTTCTTCCTCTCCTTATATTGCTCCATCAACCTTCTCACAAGATGGATGGCTTCTGTAGTTGACCGCCCTGACATGAATTTGAATTGATTCTCTGAAATAGACACAATATTTCTCACCCTCCTTTCCACTACCCTTTCCCAAATTTTCATGGTGTGACTCAGCAGCTTGATACCCCTATAGTTGGTACAATTCTGGACATCACCCTTGTTCTTATATAATGGGACCATCACACTCCACCTCCATTCTTCCGACATCAACTTCGTCCTAAAAATGACATGAAACAATCAAGTAAACCACTCCAAGCCTGCTTGACATGCGTCCTTCCAAAATTCCACCGGAATCTCAAACGGTGTGGTCGCCCCTACCCCTACTAATCTTCTGCATATCCTCCGCAACTTCCCCAATCCTAATACGCCTACAAAACCTGAAATCTCGCTGACTTTCTAAGTTCTCCAACTCCCCGATCACAATGCTCATGTCCCCATCCTCGATCAGGAGTTTTTGGAAGTATGTCTACCACCTGCCTAATAAACTCCTCTTCCACCAACACCTTGCCTTCCTCGTCTTTGATGCACATCATTTTGTCCAGGTCTCGAGCCTTCTTCTCCCTCGCCTTGTCTAACCTAAACAATTTCTTGTCACCGAATCTGCCCCAAGTTCCTCATACAAGTGCTCAAAGGTTGTAGTTTTAGCTGCCATGACCGTTAACTTCGCCTCTTTCTTTGCCTTCTTATAGTTCTCCATGTTCGTCTTCTTCTTCTCCTCGTTGATGCTCTCCATTAGCTTTATAAATTCCACTTTATTGGCTTATACTTTACCTTGGACCTCTGCATTCCATCACCAGTCCCCTTTGTGACATCTAAAGTGGCCCTTCGTGACCCCTAACACCTCCCTAGCAGCTTGTAACGACCCGGTCGTTCGTTCTGAGAGTTATAGCTCCATTTCCCCCATCTATGCTTATTTATGTATTGTTTAGCTATGTTGATTTGTATTGAGTTGGTAGGTTTGGGTTCGTAGTAGTTTTGGAGTGAAATGAATACTTAGTCTCGTAGTTAGAAAGCCAAGTTAGAAAAGTCAACCAAAAGTTGACTTATGAGTAAACAAATTCGGATTTGGATTTTTATTATTTGATTAGCTTCGTTGGGTGATTTTAGACTTAGGAGTGTGTCCGGAATGTAATTTGGAGGTCTGTCATAGAATTAGGCTTGAATTGGTGGAAGTTGGAAGTTTAGAAGTTCTTAGGCTTGAATTCAAGGTTGATTTGGTGTTTGGGTGTTGTTTTGGGTGTTTCAGAGGTTCAACTAAGTTCGGATAGTGATATATGACTTTGTGGAATTATTGGTTGAGGTTCCGAGGGCCTCGGGTGAGTTTCGGATAGGTTTGGGTAGTGTTGCGCTCGTTTTTCTTATATTTCGACGTCGTTTCTTCAAGCATAAATGATATCATATTGAACAAATGAGCTCCAATTTCTTTTTTGATTAAAACATTAGATTTGTATCGTAATTGCGGACCCGTAGCAAAAAGAATCATCGAATTTAGATATCGTATGATGATTTTATGGTCATTTTACTAAAAATTAAATTGTCAGACTTTTCAAATTAATTACGAAATTGCCACTGGCGGCGTATTTAAAAATCTGCACTATTTGCAAATATTAAAACCTACATATATCATTTATTATAAGGTCAAATTGAGTGATTCAAAAGCCTAACTTGACTAGAATACTACAAGGAATCTATTGGAGGCATAAAAAATGACTTTTGGGATCGTTTGGCACGAGAACCGAAGTAGAACAGCTCGCAGAAAAATATATAAAACTAGGTTTGTTCATTCGGTAATATTTTGAGTTGGGGAGCTCGGATTTGGGAGATTTTGGAGGCGAATTTCACCATATGAATTAGGATAAGTGTTCTCTACTCGGTTTTGGTTATATTTCATGAATCCATCTTCGTTTTTGGGATTTGATTGATGATTTCAAAGTGAAATTGAGGGAATTATGGCTTGAGTTTTGGAGAGTTATATGTAGGGATTTGAGGGACCAAACGGAGTCCGATTTTGGTAAATTTTATATGGTTAGACTCGGGAGAGGACGGGGGTTTTTATTCTGCCATTTTTGATTGAATTCGAGACGTGTGCCCGGGGGCCGGGTTTTGGCCGATTTTGGATTTTTGGCATATTTGTAGTTTCTATTGTGGGATTTGATTCTTTAGAATATGGTTATGGTATTAATATGATTAGTGTTAGATTTGAAGCTTTTGGATACCGAGTCCAGAGATGAGAGCATCCCGGAGTAGGATTTTACGTTGTTGAGGTAAGTAACAATTTTAACTCTAGCTTAGCGGGTATAAACTCGGACAATTTGATATCATGTGATTGTTTGGAGGTGATACCCATACTAAGTGACAGGCATGTAGGTGTATACCTCGAAGGATTGAGACTTGGTCCGTCACGTGAGGCTACGAGGCCTAATAGCTATTATCTGTGGTTACATGTTTACTTGTTGTTGAACTTGTCTGCCATCATGTTAGAGATCATGCTTAGGCTTTATTCATGCCCACATTATTTTACTCAGTCAGAAATTATTGTATATGTTTACGTCAGTCTCTATTATTTGGTAATATGTTGTGATACTTGATGTGGGTTGTGTTCCCTTATTTATTGATGATGGTGAGGCTAGTGAGGTATATGATTGAGTAAGGTCGGGGGCCTGGTTGTGAGGATATTGATACCATAGCGCATGAGTTGTCTGCATAGCACGTGAGTTGACCGTTCGGGTCCAGGTATTGATACCAAAGCGCGTGAGTTGTCCGCGTAGCACGTGAGTTGACCATGCTGATCCAGTTATTGATATGATGGCACGTGAGTTGTCCGTGCTTAGTGCTTGGGCTTTGGGAGCCCCTCCGGAGTCTTTACACACCCCCAGTGAGCGCAGAGTGTTGAGTGTTTTGACTGTGTTGAGTGCTGAGTGCGAGTGATGAGTGATGGAGTGACACTGCTGTGAGGTTGTATTTATCTGTGTTGTTATTTCCTTTATCTGTTAAATCTCTTTGTGGTATTTACTGAGTTATGGAATTTACTTGTTTATTTCTATTTATTTTTTTGAAATTGTGAAAATAAATAATTGGACTATTTTACTTAGCTCGTCACTACTGCTCAGTTCCTTAGTTATTTCTGTTACTACTGAGTCGGTTGTACTCATACTACACCCTGCACTTTATGTGCAGATCTAGGTGAGTTAGAGCACAATGGTCTTTGATTTCAGGCCGGCTACCTGTATAAATTGCAAGGTAGCTGCCAGCGTCCGCAGGACCTTCTTACTCCTTTCGTCATTTCTTATTTTGGACAGTTAGATAGTTTATATATCTTAGTTCATAGTTTTAGACGCTCATGACTTAGTGACACCCTGATGTTTGGGGCTCGTTTCCATAATTTATATTATTTATATTTAGAGTTGGTTTAGTTTATCAGGAATTAAATTATTGAAAATATTTTATTAAATTCTTATAATCAAATTAGCAGTAATATTTGGGAATAGGCTTGCCTTGTAACACGATAGGCGCCATCACGACAATGGTTAGATTTTGGGTCGTGACACAACTTCCCTAATATAGCCTACTGTCGTGGTCCACATACTACTCGCATCCCCACTATTCCTCCAAGCCCCCATAGCCAACAACTTCTCCCCCAATTCTCGATCTTTGTCCTTAGTCAAGGCTCCCCACTTGATCTTGGGTTTACCATTCACTGCTCTCTTCTTGATCACTTTCTTAATCTCCAAGTCCATTACAGGAGCCTGTGTTGTGTCGAAAGCCACTCACTTGGTAAAACCTTGCAATCCGTGCATAGACCTCTATCCCTCTTCCTGCAGAGAAGATATTCAATTTGGGTCTTCGCCACCATACTCCAGAATGTGACCAAGCGGTCCTCCTTCTTCTGAAAACACGAGTTAACTACCACTAGATCAAAAGCTTTAGCAAAATTCAATAGTGAATCACCACCCTCGTTCCTAACTCCAAAATCAAACCTGCAGTGCACATCGTCTGTCACATCCCAATTTTCCCTCCGCTGGGTTTCATGAAGGCACCTAGACTTAGGGACTAGGTAAGCCTAACATTTACTGAATATTAACCATAATAAAGAAATTCTAACAGCTTTGACATAGAAATCTTTATAGAATATACATTTTTCCAAAACTGGCGGTACAAGTAATAAGCTCTACAGAGTATTGCTACAACTTTTAAACACAACTGTATAGAAATAAGTACAACAGTGTGAATACAAAAGAGTAAGGTGACTCCGAAGCCTGGGAACGCTGCAGCAGGGTTACCTTGAATCCCCTCGGCAAGAATACACACAGCTATTATTGAACAATACCTGGATCTGCACAAAAAAATATGCAGAAGTGTTNATATATATATATATAAAGACTATGCGATATGGCTAACAAAAAAATAATTGCAATAAGGAAAGAAAACAACAAGTAACAGCGAAACACCATGATAAGAACATAGAAAAGTGAATGAAAATACAACCCAAATCCGAAATCACAAATACAGCAAAGACAAGTCATAACTCACCAACTACGACAATTTTTCACATTTAGTCTTAGCTAGCAAACTTCAATCGATTATTCAAATCCTTCAAGTGATAAAAATGTTTCTAAATATACTTCGTTCAAATAAATATTTTCCAAAAATAATCGTTTCAAAGTAAATACCTTTCGAGTATAATCTTCTCAAATAAATAACCTTCGAATATAAGTCAACTTGTGACACCTCATCTCATAATCATATAATACGGTCCCAATACCTAAACCCTAACACTTGGCATCATGTGGCCTCATCACACCACATAATCATACTGACAACTCACATACCAAATAGAGCCATTCTCACATGGAAGACAGATAAACAATGGTATGCGGCTATACTCGACAATACTAAGAAGCCTCCTATCCGATTAAGGTGCTTAGCCACGTGTATGCTTGTGCAAGTATCTTAACATAGTTCATACCAGATAGTAAGTATAAGGAATAGAATGGACAACACATATAATGTTTACACATAGATAGGATCAATGAAAACAACAGCTCAGAATATAGTGATTTTAACAGGGGATCTCCCAGGATATCGATTAGTAGTCCCAAATGTAAATGTGTAGAAGATCTCCTAGGATATCATCCCGTAGTCCAAATCGTAAATATGTAGGGGAATCTCCCGGAATACCGATCCGTAGTCCTAAAGTAAATATCTAGTACAGGGGTATCTCCCGGGATATCGTCCTGTAGTCCCAATTATAAATGTGCAGGGAGGTCTCCAGAAATACCGATCCATAGTCCCAAAGTAAACATGTAGGGGGAATCTCTCGGAATACACAGTTCCAAAGTAAATACGCAGCGCAACTAACAGAAACAACAGTTATAACACAACAGAAAACTCGTACATCACCACAATACGTCTAACAACAACAATGACAATAATACAAGGTAAGACAAGTAAATCAACTCAAGGACTATAAATCACAAGGAAACGGTAGAACCAGCTGACAAGGAATAACCACAGAAAAGAATGCTGGCATAAAAGGAAGAGTTCAACAAAGGAAAAACTAACATGTAGTAACTATCTCACAATATACAAGTCAATAACAAGAAAATCAACACGAATCAAGTAGTCCCAAATAAGGGCAAGTCAACAAATATATAGGTTATCTAAACTCCTTTTAAGGTTGGAAAATTTCGACGATATTCGATAATTCAATTAAGGAAATATTATCTTAGCTTCACTTAAGACTAAAAATTTTAAGAGGGAAAATAATAATTCTCAAATAAGGCTAGCAACTATGAAAAGATAGCATGACAATAGGAGAGGCAAAATTCTTCAATTAAATCAAATAGGAGTCAATTAGGCAATAAGAGTGAATCATGAAGCAATTAATTCTAATTAAGCATGTAGAGGTGAAACTAGTAAATAAGAAAATCAGTCATGTCAAGAACACATTCATACACACTGAATATAAAGACCTAAGAACTCTAAAAGGTCAATTTTCCACAAATAAGTCTGAGCACGCACTCGTCACCTCGCGTACCCGAACTACAATAAACATAGAAGACTCAAATCCTAAGGGAAAGTCTCCTACACAAGTTTAGGCAAGATACTTACCTCAAAGACGACAGACCGATACTCTAAAATGCACTTCTCAGGTGAAAAGACCTTTGGACAGCTCAAATCCAACAAAAATAACTTCAAAGCACAAATAAAACACATAGAAACCATTCCGGATCATAAAGTCTCAATCTCTAACAATATCCAAATATCGGTCCAAGGTCGACACCCGAGCCCGCACCTCGGAACCCGACAAATTTTACAAAAACCGAATACTCATTCCGATACTATTTCAACCATACAAAATTTATTAAATTCCGATACCAAATCATGATATAAAAATTTTCTTCAGAAACCAATATTTTCCCTAACCAAAAACACAATTTAAATAATAAAAACAAGGATAAAATCATGACATATATTAGATACTAGGTGAAGAATACTTACCCAATCGATTTGTTTGAAAAACCCTCAAAGAATCGCTCAAAACCGAGCACCACAATTCAAGATATGATGAAAAATAGTGTAACCCTCGATTTGGGAATATATTATGTCCGCCCAGGTATTTGTGCATCGTGAACGCGGAAGAACAATCGCGTTCGCGAAGAAGAAAAATGAAGCTGCCAAGAAAAGCCCATTGTGAACGCGAGTTAAGGGACGCGAACACGGAGAGTAAGGAACAGAAGCTTTCGCAAACGCGGGGAGAGTGACGCGAATGCGAAGAAGAGATAGCTACCAGCCCCCAGCTCCTAATTCTACTACGCGAACGCGATGGAGTGGCTGCGAATGCGAAGAAGGAGAAAGGCAAACCTTAGCGAATGCGAGAGGTTAAACGCAGACGCGAAGAACAATAAATTCCTCCTCCAAGATTACTCTTCGGAAAAGCGGAGAAGCAGATGCGAACGCAAAGGAAAAAACCAGCTGACGGATATCAGCAATCAAAAATAGGGGAAAATGACCCGATAGCCTACCCGGAACACACCCGAGGCCCCCGGGACCCCGTCTAAACACACAAAAAAGTCATATAACCTAACACGAACTCGCTCGAGGTCTCAAATCACATCAAACAACACCGAAATGGTGATTCACACCATGAATCGAACTTAGGAACTTTCAAATATTCCAACTTCCAAAACTCGCGTCAAAACTTATCAAATCAATCCGGAATGATGCCAAATTTTGCAGACAAGTCCAAAATGACATAACAAAGCTGCTCCAACTCTTGGAATCACATTCCGACCCCAATATCGCCAAAGTCAACTCTATGTCAAAATTCTCCATTTTCCAAACTTCAACTTTTCCAACTTTTGCCGAAACGCCTCAAACTACCCTACGGACCTCCAAATCTGAATCCGGACGTGCGCCTAAGTCGAAAATCACCATACGAAGCTGTTGAGATCACCCAAAACTCTTTCCATGGCCGTTTACTCAAAAGTCAAATTCTCACCGCTTAAACTTCCAAAACTAGATTCTTTCTTCCAATGTGACTCTAATCATCCATTAACTGAATTCAACCATGCACACAAGTCGATACTCATATTATGAAGTTGTTCCAGACCTTAAGCCGCCGAACAGAGCTTAATTTATCAAAATAACCGGCCGGATTGTTACATCATCATAACCCCAAACAATCTTTCCAGTATGGCCATTAAAATCACCTCCTATGAAAAACTTCTCCGTGTGCGGAATACCAGGCACCATCTCATCTAAATCCTCCCAGAAAAGCCTGTTTACCTGCTCGTCCAAGCTTGCTTGCGGCGCGTATGTGCTAATCATGCTTAAAGTAATAACCATCAACCTATCGTTCACCCTCTTAACATCTACCACCAGCTCCCTAAGATCTCTATCTACTAAAATTCCTACCTCGTTTTTGCCTAAAGAACGTCCTGAATACCATAGTTTATACATGTTGACATCTCGCACGTTATTACTCACCCATGTAGTTTTCTAGACATACGCTATATTGATCTTCCTCTTCTGGAGAATCCTCCCTATTTCTATAGAATTCCCCGTCAATGTCCCAATATTCCAAAATCCAATTCTCAACCTAGTGTCCCGCTTACACCCATTAACCCCATCCCCCCGCCCCACCCGAGGACGTG